TTTATGATCTGGAATGTTGTCAATCTTGGTGAATATTCTATGTGAGATCAAAAAAAGTACATATTTTGCTTTTGCTGATTTAAGTATTTTAAAAATGTAAATTAGATCCAATTGATTGAGACTGTAAAGTTCAATTACATCCTTACTGATTTGCTACCCTCTGATCTGCCAATTACTAATAAAGGAATGTTGGCACTTTAACTGCAAGGATTGACAATTAAGTTTGGGAATTTGCCTTTGTATGCTTCTGTTGGCAGCACTATACAAACAACTCGGTAAGGTTTCATAATGTTGGTATATCTGTGTCTCATAGATGTGATTGTGTTGACATGTGGCAGTGTCTTGCTGAGTGGCATTCATTATTGTTGTTGCATGCTTTTGTGTGCCATCATAAGAATATCAGAGCTTGGATTACAGCAACAAACAAATATTAAATTCTTGCTAAACTTAGCAAAAGTGGAAGTAAAATCAGGGATGTGTTACTCCAAGTTTATGGGGATAATACCATGAAGAAAACGGCAGTATACAAATGGATTAAATGTTTTTCTGAGGGGAGAGAAAGCATCACTGATGAAGAGAAGTCAGGACAACCAGTAATGAGCAGAACTGATAAAAATGTTGCAAAAATTCATTGAATTGTGTGTCCAAATATTTGGCTGACAGTGAGAAGCATAGCAGACCAAATAAACATCAATTGAGAAACAGTTAAGAAAATCTTAACTGAAAATCTTGGCTTGAGAAAGGTGTGTGCAAAAATGGTCCTGAAGGAGCTCTTGCATCATGACAATGCACTAGCTCACACAACACTGACTGTGAGGGAGTTTTAATCTAGTAAAAAAAATAACTTTATTGGAACACCCTCCTACTCACATGATCTGAAATACTGAAAGGAAGATATTTTGATAGTATTTACAACATCAAGGGTGATACAACAACAGCTCTGATAGCCATTTCAGAAAAAGAGTTCCCAAATTACTTTGATGGGTGGACCAGGCACTGGCATTGGTGCTTAGCTTCCCAAGGGGAATATTTAGAAGGTGACCATAGTGATATTCAGCACTGAGGTATGCAGCACTTTTTCTAGTATGAGTTTGTAAACTTAATTGTCAGTCCTCATGTAATAGTAAATTTATCTGTTTCTCCTTGCTGTTCTTACAATTTTATAAGCTTTTGCCTCAAGTATTTGATGCTCTGTGGTTAGATGTATACATCATTAATAATTGTTGTGAATTAGCCCTTTAGTATTATATAATGCTATATCAGTCCATTCAGACTGCTGTAACAAAATACCCTAGATTGAGTAATTTATTAACAGGGCTGTGATTAAGTCTCAGTCTTTTAATGAGACTGTGCCCTGGATTATGTTCTTTACAATTGCCTCTCAGGTTTTGTTGTTTTATTTTGTTTTCTTGTTATTGTTGTTTCTCTCTCTCTCTCTCTCTCTCTCTCTCTCTCTCTCTCTCTCTCTCATTTTCAAAAAGGCTATAAGTGACTAGAATTAGTTATACTCCCCCCACAGAAAAGGCTACTAGGAGCTGGAAGTCGTTATTTTCCTTTCTCCACATGGATGGTCGGAGGGTTTGGAGTTTGGTGTTTTATATCCCTTAATTTGATGAGATTATGGTAAAACCCTAGTCAGTTAAACTCCTTTTAAATAGTTTGTCTTAAGAACAAGCCTTGTAAAGAAGAATAAAATGTTCTGGGTATATTTCAAAATGGTTACTTTTCCCTTCCTCTGACCAAAAGTAGGAGAGGATTTTTCCCTTATCTTCATTATGGGAACCTGGCAAGTTTCCTGAAGATAAAACTCACAAAAATGTGTGTGTGGGGGGTGGGTAATGTGGAGGGTGGCACGGGGATGGGAGGAGACAGTCCTGTCAAGAGTCCTACCAGAGCATTTAACTTTCAGACTCATCCACGCCAAGCCTCCAGAAATTCATTAATTCAACAATTTCAGTTTTTCTGATTAACCAATTCATCATTTTCAGTGTTTCTACCATTATATTGGTTCCTGCTGGAGTATCTTCCTTTGTGCTTATGTTTCAGTAAGTTGTGATTCAGTGTGTCCACCATTCTCTTTTTCCAATTTTGGGGCAGCAGTTTGCCCTGAGACTACAAGTCTCTGATAGATCTAGGAAGAGTTGTTGATTTTTAGTTTGTTCAGCTTTTTTTTTATTGTGAAAACTGGAGTGAAAATATCCAGCTCCTTATTATATTCTGGACTAGAGACTGGAAGTCTATGCTATATATATTTAATGAATTGTTTAAATTCTTTCTACATCTCTAAACTCCAGAGCTGTATATGACACTTAATAGTCTTACCCTACACCCATACATGTACTGAGGTTCATATAAATATGTGAATGAACGGAATTTTCACTAATATGTGCAGTATTGCTGTTATTTCTGTCCTTGATTAACTTAATTTAAAACCCATAACCTCTTCTCTTCAAGAGAAATTTCCCTTTCCATCACTTCTGATTTTTTCTTCTTATATAATATTTAAGCGTTTTCAAGCTAAACTATATGTAACTATGCAATTCTATTTTAAAATTTTATTTTATTTTAAAGTTGTGGGGTGTAAATCGGGATTATATACATAAGTGGTTTAGATATAGATGATGTTTTGGGCACTTCTGAGGGTGAAACAATATCTCAGTTCATTGCTTTTTTCTATCAGTGGTGATTAAGGACAGACTCCTAATAGAGCAAATGCCTAATAGAACAGACCCCTAATAGAACAGTTAAGAATAGGACAAGCAAAGTCACAATTTCTTCTTGCTGATGTTTTTCACAGACTAGTTTTAATGAGTTAAATATATAATGAAGAGGAGAAACTGTTTCTGATATTCAGAGACTCCAACTCAATGCTAGTGACCTACCTTTAATGTTGCAAACACTTAGAGCATCTGAATAGCTACAGGAAAGGAAATCCAGGAAAAGCTACTAAACTTTTGTTTTTCCAACCCTCACCTGGGAAACTTAGATACATAGAAATTGTTGAAGTAGATGGTCTCTAATATTTATACTACTCTGGAATTTAGTCATTAACACTCACATATTCTATCACCTCTTCATATATCTTGTTAAATGTTTTCCTTCAGTGGAATGATTATTCTAGATAAATAAGCATATATTTAATTTGATATGATTATAATGTTTGTATTTTGATGATATCCTTACTTTTTTCTGTTTTGATTTAGTGAGTTCTCTTTAAGTTTTTTCTGCCATACATAAGTAGTTGCTTTGATTATAAACTTTGAATATAATATAACCTTGATTATAATAGACTTTATTATAATTTAATGTCCTTATTTTTATATTATTTGAATACATGATTTTGACAAAAAACTATTACTTTACAATATTTAATGTTGATCATTATTATATTACTGAGTCTATGTTCAACCAAAATTTAGAATACCAAAATTGAAATAGCTGAGTTCATCCAGCAATTGATTTTTAGAATGCTATTTCAAATAATAAATTATTAATATGATATGAATTGGCTTTTTCATAAAATTTGTTTAATGACATGTAAAATTAGAAACAAATGAAATTATAATTGATTATTTTTCAAACATGTAGCCATTTTGCTTTTTCAAAGTAATAGATGTTAGCAGTAATTAAAAATAAATCTTTTCCCTGAGAGTTATCACCAAAACCCTCAGAATACAAAGTATTATTTCTGTTGGAAGATATAATTATATGCTATAATTTTAGCTGTTAATGGGCTTCCCCTTGTACTGGTGGACTTTGGCAACATGCTTCATTTCTGACTGTGGAATATTTAGTGATTCTTGGTATTTCTGAAGTGTCAATTTAATATAATATATAATAGGATGATTGGTATTAATCTGAGAGTATAAATGTTGGATATATTATACAGGATAAGTTATCCATAGATAAATTTTGACACTAAGAAAACAGTGAGACAATAAGATTTTGCAGTTGAGCGGAGGTCATTAGAAAAAAAACACTATTGCAATAGAAGAAAATTACTGTCCACATGTTTTCGTTTCTCTGGGTCTTATTTTCCCATGTGAAAGAAAGGGTTGTATAACTGATTGCAGAAGTATAGTGCAAGCCATATATAAACATATATAGGTGTATAGAGATATTATACACATTACCATATATAGTTTTAACATCTGAGGAAAGATAATTGTAAAATTTGCAAAAAGAGGATATAAAAATATTTTCAGTCTGACTCTTTTTGTCATTTAGTTACAAATTTTTGAAGAACACTAGGAAATGGCATTTTTGACTTTGTTTTGAATTGTTTACACTGTTAAAAATACTACAACGTAGCATATTTTTTGGTTTCAAATAAAATAAAATAACTATTTTGTATTTAACTATCCAATCCTACTCATACCTTGAAGGAGAGCAGTATATGTAAAATAACTATTTTATTTCACTTTATGTTTGTTGCATCTGTTCATTTTTTCCCTATAAGTGCTGAAAATTGACATTAGTTAATACAGAAAGATATTCTGTCTGTCAAAGTGATATTTTCTGCATATTTACTTTGGTTTCTTAAATTACATTTATAATCTCACATCCAGTTATTGTGAGGGTCTTCTTTTTTTCCACTCATGCACACTTCATCTAACATAGACAAAGTTATTTAACAATGAAAAATTCGTGTTTTATGTTTCCTCCAGCTTTTTACATGCTTAAGGTGGTAACAGTTTTTTTTATTATCATGTCCAATTTATGCAGAAATTAATATGACAAAACCAAATGATTGTCTTATTCACCAAAGAAAATATGGCATCCATTGTCTCACTTTACAACCTCCAAAACCTATAAATAAAAAATACAAAAGTCGATGTATTAAGCTGTCACATAGCCAGAAACTTCATTCTTTCATTAATCAATCATTTGGATGCCCATATGCCTCTAACATCCATTCATAATTATTTTTCTTTAAGTTATCATAGCGTCAGAGAAATAATCAAGAATTATTTTTCTTCTTTTCTTTTCTTTTTTTTTAGGTTTATACCATTGAGGAATCAGGGCTAAACATCCAGATATGGTCAGCAATTGGAACTAAAAGAACTGGGTGGATGTTCGGCTATACACCTCTCTCCAGTAACAGCCCATTTAAGGTGGCATTTGAAGCTGATTTGGCTGGAAGTGAGGACATATTTATTGCCCTTGACGACATCTCTTTTACTCCAGAGTGTATGTCTGGAGGTAAGTGATTCCTTCAGAAAAGAGAACAAGTATTACTTTTAATATCTAAATATAGAAGAATTGGGAATTCTTTTTTTCTTTTTTCTCTCTCTCAGCAGAATCAAAAAGTGGGGAGTTTCTGAGGAACTGCATACATTTCTAAATCCAATCCTACTCATACCTTGAAGGAGAACAGTATATGTAGTAAGAAGCAAAGTTTTCTGCCTGTTAAATTTTTGTGTCCTTTGGGCAACAAAATAACTTTGACCCAAAGTTGTTTTAGAAATCCTGAGGTTATTTAGTTCCATGAATGTAGCTTTATTTTCTACCTTCGTTATTCCCAAAGATTCACAACAACTGAACAAGGTTAAGGCCCTTCTGGTTAACTATTATCTTTCAGAATGGCTTCTCCACCCATATTAACCTTTCCCTTCCCCAGGTCACTTCTTGCCATTTCTACTGTGTAATCTAGAATGCTCATTGCATACAATGCCTTTTCTTACTTTTATTTCCCATTTATTCCAGATTTAATAATGAACACCTCAATACCATTCTCAATCAAGACTTTGAATTCTATGACATCCATTTTTCAAATGTTCACGTAAATTTGAGCACTATGTGCCAGGCAATGTGCCTAACACTTTGCATGTATCAATGTTTATTTATCAACACTCCCCTGTAGAATAGATACTATTATTCTTCAGCCCATGTTCTATCATAATGGCTTTATTAATCTTTGAAACTGAGAGCATATAATCATCTGGATTTTCCACAACTGCTGCTGGTCATGCTGACTGGGACCACTGAAATTTTGGGTTTACCACCTTGAAGGTCCCAGATGCCTGTGTTTCTCATTTCCTGACACAGATTTTCTTCCACAATTCTCAGATCCTCCAGTCTTTCCCTGGCTTGTTCTTCACCCTGCTGATGTTCTTGTATCCTTTGAATAGAAAATAAAGCTGTATTGTAAAATTCTCCTTTTCCCCTTCAAATGTGCCTGTATCTGCAACCAACTCTTTTTCTCACCATTTGCTTGGGGAAAAAAAATCTCCACTTTCCCAAGAATAAATGTGTATTTTGGGGACATTTTCTTTCTCAAATCCTTCTAGTCCTTGTTCCACTAAAGTCTTCTCTATTCTATATCTTCCATTTCTGTTCTTCCACTCATTCTTAGCTCTGAATTAGATATAGACAGAGACAGAGATGGAGACAAGGACAGAGACAGAGAGACAGAGAGAGAGAGAGAGAGAGAGAGATGAGATGTTTATATTTATTTTTCACTAATTTTGAGCTCCTCAGGAGCAAGAAGAGTTTGGGAGGTTGTATTTCACCTCCAGAGCCTAACACAGGGACGAGGAAATTTGGCCTGAAAAGTTACTATTATTCAGAGAAATATAATAATAACAATTAAAACCGATTGTGTATACAGTAACTGTAACATTGACCTAAGTGTAAACTGACTCTTTCCCAATATGTTTTAGAACATATATTACTGTCAAGAATAATAAAAAGTGATCAAGACCTTTGGCATTAAACCATGAATTGTTTCTTTTTGTCACTTTGTGTAATAGCCTTTCTCCACCCCCATTTCCTCAGCCAGAATTCAGAGTCTCAGGGAATGGTTTCTACAGCATGGCTTTATTGTTGATTCAAGCAGATGCTTTTAGAAAATCATAAATTAAGCCAGTACTTCTCAAAGGGAGGCACACAGACTCCCATAGTGATGTGCCAGAGAGCATGCAATACACTACCAAATAAATCCATTTTTGATCAGATGCAATGGCCCATGCCTGTAATCCTAGCACTTTGGGAGGCCAAGGTGGGAGGATTGCTTCAGTCCAGGAGTTCGAGACTAGCCTGGGCAAAGTGGTGAGACTTTACTTTTTCAAAAAATCAAAAAACTAGCTGGACATGGTGGTGCAAGCCTGTAGTCCCAGCTACTCAGGAGGCTGAGCTGGAGTGATCTCCTGAGCCCAGGAAGTCAAGGCTGCAATGAGTCATGATGGTGCCACTGCACTCCAGCCTGAGTTACAGAATGGGATCCTGCTTCAAACAACAACAACAACAAAAATAAAATGTAATCAATCAATCAGATGCAATTCGCTGGGTTTACATGAAGATTTGGGGAGAATAGTTAAATAACCTGTGACATTTGAAGTACAAATCTACTGTTGAGTAGAATATCAAATTTCTAAAGCATAAAGCTTTAAGAAATATTGATCCTTTAGAGCTAGTACTAATGTTCTCTTCCCTGTGATTTGTGATACTGTGTTGGGAAATGTTGAGAGATGCAGAATAGATTATTTAGGCATTAAAAAACTATGTCACATAATAGAAAATATTCATATTGGTAAATATGAAAGGTAGAATGAATACAAGATATTAATAATACAAGCATCTATTGCTAAGTGTAGAAAAATGATAAAAGTGTGAAACCAGTTTGAATAAGCTATCAAAAAAGATATCTATCTATAAATCCTGAAAGAACATTTATAAAATATAATATCTTTCTCTGAGAAATACACGTGAGTAATTTTTCTTTTCTTCTTATTACTTTTTTTCAGTATTTCTAAACGTCTGCTTGGAAGTATGTTGTTTGTAACTGGAAAAAAAATAATAGTGTTACTTTATAAAGTAAAGGTATAAGATCATATTATGTATAATTAAGAACAACATATTTGGGGCAATCTTTAATCTCCAGCATTCTTTCCTAAATGAAGTTATTTATTGTAGTAAATATGGGGTGCATAGATGGATTTACTTTGAATCTTATATTGTACAGTGGTTATTCCAGTTACTAGTAACTTATCTTTTTGAAACTTTTTGAGAAATGTGAAGACAGATTATACATTAGCTCTTCTTATTTGCCAAGGTTCGGGGACATCAGACAGTGTAAAACCTTTTGGGTGAGCCATCTTCTGGTAGTTCAGGAGCAAAATGTTTACATTGTATAAGAATGAGTCATCTAGAATTAGTTTTGCATTAGCATTTTTCTTTCAGTTGCCCTAACTTTCCAGAAAGCAGCCAACAAACTCAGAGTTTTTAAGACTTTCAAGAAGGGGGGGAAATAGTATTAAATATGCCTCAGAGACGTGGTAAAAATGATATTTTAAGTGTTAGCACTTAGCAAGGAAAACTTCATTTCCCAGTAATGCTGGATAAAGAAAGCAGTTTTTTTTTTTTTTTACATAAAGTTTAAAATAGATCAAATTTTGATACAGGCCTCTTCAAATTTCCTATTTTATTGACTATAAATCTCCAGAATAAGATGCAGGTTCCCAGTTAAATATAGTTGTAAAAAAAAAAAAGTGAAAAAATTCTGATAGTCCAGGACCTCCCTAATGATTACTTACTGAAAAAGTAAGAGACAGAAATTTAAATAGATTTTTTTCAACATCCATTTATATGGGTTCATCAATTAACCTTTGAAGAATGTGAAAAATTCTATACCATCAAAACTGCTTTGTCCATCTTTCTTTAGTTAGCTTAGTCTAGACGCAAATGATCTGGGGCAATTAAATTAACATAGATAATTTTCTCCAGATCTTATAACGAGACATCCAGATTTGTATGTTTAACATGACAACTTTTTGTGCAGGTCCAGATTAACATCGGAAAAATAAAAACAACTAACTCTCAGTGTCATTTCAACCCAATAGTAGGCTTTGTGTTGTCGTTTTTTAATTTATTCCAATCACCCTATACAGAAACTCACGTAATATGAAGGAATCTAAAACGATATCCTTTGTCATCCCAAGCTACTTGTAGTTTTCTTACCATTTAGAAGATTGCAGTAGTAAACAGCAGCCCTACTCCCACCAATCTTTACTTTCTACTTTATTATTTCTCGATCCTACCTTAATTATTCTAGGTTTCCCAGGGCAACATTTCACAGATGAGACTAACTCGATGCAATAAAGCATCTCCAGAAGTTCTGAATCAGCTGAAGAATGACTTTGTTTTCCTAGAGTCATTTTTTTTTAGCCATGTGGGTTTCCAAGGATGAAAAGTGTTTTCTGCTTTTTTTCTATCCTTTGAAACAAGGAGGATCACCTCTGTCTCCATGGTGAGGAAACATTTTATAATGGGACATTGATACTTTTAAAACTACATGAGAAGTTGTAAAGTATTCCAAACTACAATGAATGTGAAATTATAAGCTTCTTGCAAATATGGTGTGTATCTACATAGTTTTGTCAAGAGTCAAATAAAGGGACAAATACCAGTAGACACAACACTATGAGGGAGGAGACGTAGCTAGGAAGCAGGCTATTTCCACATAGGAGCTTACTGGTGTACTGTGTAGATTGTGTCTCCTCGCTTCCCAGGACTTCAGAAATAAAATCCCCAGAATAAGATGCAGTTAGAAATAAGGTCTTTGCAGATACAATTAAGACATCAGTTAAGATAAGGTTACTATTGAGGTGGATCCTTATATAACTGGTCTTTTTAACTAGAAGAGAAGAGACACACAGAGAGAACACCACTTGATGAAGGAGGGAGAGATTGAAGTAATGCATCTATAAGCTAAGGAATGCCAAGGAGGGTTAGCAAAACAGGAAACTAAGAGAAAGGAATGGAGAAGCTTCTCCCCTAGAGCCTTCAGAGAGACCATGGCCCTGATAACACCTTGAATTTAGACTTCGGACTTTACACTATTGAAGAAAATATGTTGTTTTAAGAGATCATTTGTGATACGTTGTAATGCAACTTAGGAGATTAATGCATCGGGGAACATTAAGGTGAATAATCAAGAACTGGATTCAAATCTTCATTATGCCAATTTGCAACCCATTTGACCTGATTCTCCTCATCCATGAAATGATTCTTGTCAGGTTTTAGGAATGCGCCTTTCCTAAAAGAGTTGCATTAACCATTTCAGGCAAATGAGGAACGTCTTAGACAAACCTAAAAATAATTCTTACATGACCTAACACATCTAGTCTTCCACTGATTGACATTTCTAATTGAAACATGCCGACACTAATGCTGCCTTAGATAAATACAGTAAATAACAGGAG